AGGAAGAAAAGGTCCAAAGGGGTAGGGGAAGTAGGAGGGGAAGGGGAAGGGAAAGAAGAGAAAGGAAAAATTATGAGAAAAGAAAATAATGGAAACAAAGTCTATGTAAATAGGGAAGGGTGGAAGAGGGGAAGGTTACACAGGTAATGGGAAAAAAATTAGAACCAAGATACATCATGTACAGGTACAAGCACCCAATGATAAATGTAAATGTACTGTATACCTAAAATGTACCAATAAAAGAATTTAAGCCAAAAAAAAGAAAGAAAGAAAGAAATGCAGGGCCTCTCCGTTAAGCAGACAAAAGGTTATCAGGGATCAAGGTCATGGAAGACTTGAACACTGTTCGCCAACCTGCCCTGATAAAGACACCACCTGCAACAACTGGGGAACACATATTCTTTTCAACTATGCACAGAATAGGCTCCAAGAGAGATCATATTAGCCACAATATTTAAGTCTCAAATGTTTAAGGATTGAATCATCCAAAGTGTTCTTTGTAAAATAATTAGACATGAAAAACGAAGATATCTGTGAAAATCCCAAAAGAGGGGCCGGGGATTTAGCTCAGTGGCACCACACCTGCCTCACAAGTGCATTTTGATCCCTGGTACCCTCCCCTCAAAACCCAAAATATTTGTAAATTAAACACATTTTGAGATAACTGTAACATGAGTCAAAGAAGACATCTAAAAGCAACCTAGACCTTTTCAATTTAAATGACATGGAAAACGCATGTTAAATGTGGAGAATGCAGCTGAAGCAATGTCTAGGAGGAAATTCACAGCTTTGAATGCTTATGTTACAAAGATTTAAAAGAAATTAAACTTCTACTTTAAGAAACTAAAAAAAAAAGCAGATTAAACCCAAAGTAGAAGGAAAAACAAAAGGACAGAATTACTGAAAAACAAAAATATATAAATAGAATAAAGAAAAAACTCAGTGATCCCAAAGTCCATAAAAAAGACTATATACAGAAATACCTGAACATGAAAGGCTGTTTCTGATTCAATAATGCAAATTTTAAGTTACCTGGGACCTTTTCTACCTTCTTTCAAGAATGCCTTCAAAATTGCTAATGACAGGTAGAAGGAAAATATTTCCCTAACATCAAACTAGAACCATCTTTTAAAGATTCAAATACAAAAAGGACTTTGGTCACCTCATACAATCCCAGTCATCCAATAAGAATACTCAAGTCAATGAAATCCTGGGAAATTATTTTTAAAAAACATAAGGAAATATAAATAAAGAAAACCTCTCTTTACTTGCCACTCCAAAAGAAAACAGATTTCTTTCTTTTCTAACACAAAAGGACAATGTGTCCTGCACATCTGGCAAGCACTGTTTTCTGTAGCCATCAATGATATGAAGACAAAACATCTTTTCCAGGATTTTCTATGGAAATTAATTTGGATACATGCATTGAAAGAACACCAAAGACATCAACTATTATCAAAACACACACTTTTTTCACCTTCAGCAAAATGTTTTGAAATTCTAGTCATTTCAAATAATCTGCCATGTTCATATTCCTTTAACCACTTCTGGGTAAAGACAATCATACAGCTTTATATTGTAACAAAATAGGAAGAAAATGAAAAAAGAAAAACTTCTTGAATAAGAATAATGAATAAAAAATACCTAACAAAGGAGCTAACAACAAGCACTTATCATTCAAACTCAAAAGGTTTGGCGCCACGACGTAGCTCTATGGTAAAGTGTTTGCCTAGCATGGGTGAGGTGCTGGGTTACATCTCTAGCACCTCAAAATACACCCACACCCACCCACACACAGTGATAGTTTGCAGAACAAAGGGCAAAGGTTTCAATCTAAACTAGGTTAATGATATTTCTATTTTGTAACTATATTACTAACAGAGGACAACAACTAATTTAACCATCAACATGAAATACTGGAGAACCTTTTAAAGTATAAAGAGCAATTATTTACTTAAAAATACCCACAGAAGGAAAACTTACCTGAAAACAACACAAAAACACCAGGTTCAAGATCAGCAGGCTGTTCTAGAGCTTACTCTAAAACCAGTCTACACACTCTAACAAAATTGCCTCATGTAAAACTGTCAAGCAGGTGATTCTTTGGCAGCAAAAGTCCCAGGTGTTTCCAAGATTCTTCTCCTTCCAATAATTGCCAGGGTTGTGAAATGATGAGCTATCCCTCCCGTGATCAGGCTGTGCTATGCAACACAGCTGACTCTGAGAAAAGGATATCATCATCTTGGGGCTTGCCTAATCAGACCACCAGTGAACCTAAAGGTTTGTTCTGAGAATGAATCAAGATAGTGAGCAGGTCTCAGGCCACACGAGCTCTCTCTCTTCAGGGAAGCCACTGTTACAATCATCCAAGTACTAGGAACTACTGGAGTTGTGAAGATAACTACAAATGACAGTTCAACTTGAGTTGCTGAGTGCCTTCTTTACGCCGAGCACTGTTGTAAGGATGTCACACAGATGAACTGACTTCTGCCATACAGCAAGCAAACAAGTCTTGCTCCCCTGAGATTATCCACCTGGTTGTGGTGGAGGTGAGATTCAAACCCAGAGTCTCTGGCTGCAGTCTGTGCACTTAACTGGTCAAGAATTTTCAAGGTTAGAGTCTAATGTGAGTTTAAGGGAAAAGGCCAACTTCATCATTGGAAAAATAAGGAAATGGAGAGATGAGTGACTTAGGAAGAAAGTGGGCAAAGGAATGTGGCCAAGAGCTCTGAGTTGGGGACATTTGATCAAAACTCAGCTGCTCCATGCCACTTCATGGCTGTGTGACCTGTTAGTCTCTGCCTTCCCCCTCTCCAATGGGAATGGCAACTCGGCCAAATTCCCACTGTTGTGTAGATGGAAGCCCAGCACACTGCAAACCCCCAATAAGCGCTGGCCATCACGATCCCCGGGTGAGGGAGGCCCGCAGCAGCAGCCGCCGCCACAGAAAGCACCACACCCAACCCCTAGGCCAGCACCGAGCCACCCGCAGGTCTGCAGCGCGGAGGGAGAGAAGCCAACGTAGAGGGGACAGTGGGGTCACCAGCAACTGTTCCAGTGGCTTCCTCGGCTATTAACCCACGGGACGCTCACTCCTCCGGGATGCCGCGAGGGCTCCTTCCCTCTTCACAGAGGCTCCGAGGGTTCACGGCCTTCTGCCCGAACCGCGCGCCTCGCCCTCGCGAGGGTGCGCTTCCCGGGGCGCGGGCGGCCGAGGCGGCCGGGCAGGAGCTATCAGCCCGGGGCCCCACTCACCTCCTCCTTCCGCGAACGCTTGGACACCTTCTCGTCCATCGTCCATCGTCCATCATGGCGGCCTTCTCTGCAGCGCGGCCCTTCGCGCCCTCTTCGCACCTCCGCCCCACGCACCACAGGTGGGCGGCGCACCAGGTGCCAGCACGCGCTGGGGGCGGGGGGGGGACGACGCAGTGGGTGGGCAGAAACACGTCACTTCCGGGCTGACAGTGTCCAAAACCCGGAAAGGGCTGAGGATGCCCCTCGGTGGGGAGGCCCTGGCTCAACCCCAGTACCACAAATAGAGATGGGTAGGGCCAGGGGCAGATAAAGAGATCACTAAAGTAAAGAAATGAATAAATAAATATTGAAAAGTAGGAGCACCAAGACCCCAGCGGACATGAGCCCTAAGAAGCATTCACTAAGTGTGCTGCAGCATTTCCTTACACTATCTTTCCTCAGGCTTACTTTCCTTACAGTATCCACACCCCTCCCAGCCCTGCCACGACCTCCTACTTGGAGGACGAGGACAAAGACTAAAGACCGCTGAACCCGGACCCAGAAATGCTGGAAAGGGGGAAGAGCATGCTGGCCGATCATGGTCACTGATGCTGGGCTGTTGGCTCGTCCCGCCCAGCTGAAGTCTTGGCCAGGTCTGGGTGGCCTGGGTTCCTCCTGCATGGCCGTGTGGCAGGAGCAGAGACTTCACAGAGGCTGCATGGAACCTGGTAGGTTCACTTCTCAGGGCCAAAAAAGGACTCACAGCCCAATCCCTGTCTCTGTGCTGAAGAACAACGTCCCTGTCTCCCTGCTCTGCAGGTGTCTTGAGAAACAGGAGGTGCTGCCTGAAGCTGCTGCCTGGCCTCTACAGAGGACCCTGGCTTCCTGCCCTGCCTTGTGTTTGTGTTCTTTTTCCAGGTTGTCAGTCTTGGTACTGTGAAAGTTGCCAGGTGGTGGAGCAAGTGCCTAGTATGCATGAGACCCTGAGCTCCATCCCCTGCACTGCATATGCACACACAAGCACAAAGTCTGAAGTCTGTAAGGAGGGAGGTGTTGCGCAGGAATGCCTTTCTGAGATCTTCTCACAGGGGGTTAGAATCACAGTATTCAGATAAGCTGCTTGGACAAGAGCCCCTCCTCCGAAGCCACAAGCCCCAAACCAAGAACTTTGTTTTCAAACAGCTTAAGTGGATGTCCTCTCTTTGTCTTTAGAAGTCCTCTTTGCCTGAGCCTCTGAGATAAACCTCATGCTATCTGGTCACTATCACTATCAAGGCAGGCTGATGCTGCAGGGGTGGTCTGGCACAGTAAGAGGTGGATGAGAGGCCCATCTGCCCTGCAGGTGTCTCACTGGCAGCACTTAACACCCAGGGGGCCAAAACTTAGGAGGACAGAGACAAAACTATAGGCAACTTGGTGCCCAGAAGGGATCTGGGGACAGGAAAAGTGTGAGAGGTAAGACCAGAGAAATCTGCACCGTGTGGGTCTAATTACCAATCATTTGTTCATGATGGTGCATCAGCGTGACTGTTCATACCACCAGGGCGGAGGAGCCAGGGAGCTTCCTGTGCCTTCCTTAGCCTTCTGCAAACTGGAAATTCTTCTAAAATAAAAATTATATTATTTTTGAGACAGAGTCCAGGCTGGCCTTGAACTAGCTATGAAACATCAGACACCGCCCTCAGCCAGCCCCACATTTACTAGAGGACACACCGAGGCACAGGACAGGGCAGAAAGGTGAGCGCTAGGTGAGGTCACACGGGCCTCTGACAGTCCCGGCCCTAGAGCCAGGCCCCAGGCCCTTTCCATAAAATCACCATGGAAGGGGCAGAGGCTCCGATCTGAGGCCTCAACCTCACTGTGGCTAAGTGGACCACGTGGAGGGATGGGAATGAGGGTGCCAAGGCTGGAGAGAAGGGTTATTCCAAAGCGGGTCAAGGAAGAACAGAAAAAAGCGTTGCTCAGAATGGAAGGAGACAAGGGCGGGCAGTGAGTGTGGCCACAGCCCAAGGTCCTTTCTAATGCTTCCTAACTAGACCTACAAACCGCTGCAGGGAGGACGTGACAGTATACTTCACCATCCTCTCTCCCTCTGTTTTCCTAGCTTGGCAGGCTCCTTGGGAAAGTGTGTTCTCAGTCCTTGAGCTGAGTGTGCAGAGTGGCACAACACAGTAATGCAGACAGCATTTTCTGAGTTGCTATTTTCAAACCTCATCATACCTGCTTCAAAGGGCTGAGACTAAAAGCTTTTTTTTGGAGATTTTACTTCATGAAAATAACTGACCCAAAGAAGCTGGGCATGGTGGCGCATGCCTATAATCTGAGCACGCTGGAGGCTGAGGCAAGAGATTCCAGGCCAGCCTGAACTACAGAACAGGACCTGGTATTAAAAAACAAAAACCAGATGACTTAATTCTTCAAACATAAAACCTTTAAAATGTCCAGCTGATTTAATCAGTGGGCTGTGAAATCAATATGGTGCAAGGTAAAGTGTAGATTCCACATATAAAAATGAAAACAATGCTGAATTCCATTATGAGCAACAGGAGGCGCATTGCTTTTCCTTGTGAGTTTCAATGAAATTAATACTTCTATCTTACACTATTTTGTATTCCAGGTAGTCTGGGGTCATGTTCTTCCAGCTGAGAGGATGTAGCTCGCAATCCAACCACTGCCCTGGTTCCCTGTAGCTGCTTCCGGGTCAACAGACAGACTGGCTGGGAGGCAGGGGGGCCCCCTGCAGGCTGATGGAGGTGCAGCCCTTGTGCGGGGTGAGCACACGCTGGGGCCTGCTGAGCTGCTGACCCCAGAGCACGGAGGAACAGTGACCCCTCTGATGGGATGGAGCTTTGTGAAGACACAGCCACCCCACCCCACGCTCTCGCCATGTAACGAGACCCTCACAAGTGTGCTCGAGGTGCTCATCTTACTTCAAGTCACTCAGGCTGGGACACGGGAGCTACAGAGACCGAGGACGACCCAGCCGTTCCTGTCACTGCTCTTCATCTCGCCATCTCTCACGGCCGGCTCCTTCCCTCTGGCCCTCTGGGTTCTCTCTTCCCTCCCACAGTTTCCAGCCAACCCTCCCTTGACAGGCGGACTGCTCTAAGCGGCACCTTGTCCTGTGTCCTCACTCATCTTACGGGGTCTTGACAATGGCAGCCCTGGGTTCAGGTTGCCCACCTTAGCTTGCTGAAATGCCCCTTCTCTTCTGAGGCCATGAGACACAGTGGAGCCGCACTGCAGACTCTAACTGCACGCTGGGGAGGGAAGTGGGAAGGCAGCAGGGACTCAGTGCCTAAGCAGCTCACCAGCTGTGTGGTGGGAAAACCTCCCGAGGCATCTCCATCTGGACTGATGGCCCTTTGTGGGGCCCAGCAGAGCACCCCAGCTAACGTCAGCTTCAGCGAGTCCATCCAGGGGTCCAGACCTGATCCTGGGAACCCAGGTCTTTTGGCCCAGGGCTGTGCTTCTGGGGATGGAGACAAAACTGACCTGAGGCCAGGAGGGGGCGCCCGCCTGCAGCCATGGTTGCCATTTCCCTTCCTAGTAAGGGCACTTTCACAACTCAAACTCGGCCTTTATAGGTCCCCGCTCAGAGGCAGGGCTTGATGTAGTCTGGTCCCCAAGAGAGGCCAAGAAGGGGAGCTGAGTGCACGTGATTGGTGAGGCCCTGCTCCCGGGAGGAAGAGGTGGTGGAGCTGGCCAAGCCGGGAAGGCAAGGCAGAAAAGCCAAGGAGCTGTGTGGCCTCAGGGAACGCGGCCCTTCGTGTGAGGAGGATGACAGTCCCACTGGGCTTCCCTGCGGCAGTTACTGGGCTGTCAGGACAGCAGCCGTGGGAAGAGCAGAACTGAGACTGCAAACAGGACACAGGGAATGAAAGGCTTGGCAGGGGCAGCCCATGGAAAACACAGGAGCGACCTCACGGGGTTCCCTCAGCTGCTGGGGAGCACACGAGGACAGAGGAACTACAGGCACTGCGCACGGTCCTAGGGGACAGCTATGGGGAGTGAGCACCCAGAGGCACAGAAGTCATTACCTCTGCGCCCTAAGCTCAGGGCCTGGGAATCTGCAGGTCATTTCCCACTGGCGGAACCGTGGTTTCCTTTTCATCATCGTCTGTCTCAGGGCAGTGGCTGGATCAGGAAGGCCGTGGGCCAGAATCTCATGGGTGGCACATCCTGAGCCTTCGAGAGCATCACGCTCTGCATTGGGAGGGTTCTTCAATCCAAGGGAAGCATCCACATTCAGCTCTGAAACACAAGGACGGCCATCAGGACCCGGTGTTACTCAGGGCCTCACTGTGTCACGTGCTTCCACCCAAGAGCGTCATCAATAGAGAAAGAGGCTTTGCACGAGGAAGTCCAAGGAGATGGAGTCTACAGAGACTGGCATTCCCTTGTTGTTGGTGTTTCTGACATGAGCAGCAATGTTGAGATAGCGAGGAGGCAAAGTATTCCCGATTTGAAATCACTCACGAAAAGGAATCTGTGACAAGCACCAGCTAACAGGAGAGAGGGCAAAGATGAGGAAGCCGCAGTGGACATGCAATGTGCTTTGTGGAGGAAAAGGTGGTGAAAAGGGAGACAACTCAGTTTAGGGAAAACCTCACGAGAGGAGCACTAGGAGGCCGCACCGTGGGAAGATGCACTTCGGGGAGCAGGAAGCAGCCTGGTCTCTGCACCGTGTGCATGAAGGCTGTCAGACACAGGGCTGGGCTCAGGACTTACACTGGCCCTGAAAAACTGCTGGACCCAGGGTGAAAATTCCCTGCGATCACTTTGTGTTCAACCACAGGTTCAGGTATTCGATCTTTCATACTGGAAGCTTTGATTGTGCTGCTTGTATGGAATCGGGTACTGGTGACACTGAGAATTAACGACAGCGCAGAATAGTCAGTGTGGATCAGGCATGTGCAAGCATTAGGCCACAGGCAGATGCCCCTGATGCAGAGTGTGTTTCCTGGGCTCAGGTACGGGCACTGAGATGTCAGTATCTAAGAAAATGCACAACCTGCCAGGTAGGATCAGTGACCCGCAGGTCAGGACCTGAGTGTCTGAACCCCAGGCTCCTGCGGGCTCCTCGCTCTGCTAGAGAATCTCGGATTCCAGTCTGGCCCTGAGAGAGCACAGAGGCTCCTGTCTCCTCCCCCAAGGGGCCCTGGCAACCCACACACAGACGGGAGCCTCGGACCCTTCCCTCCTACCTGAGGAGAGCAGCCACTGCTGTCCAGCATCAGTGTGGGCTGTGAATCTCCAGGGGGCAGAGCAAAGGCCCAGGGCCACTCTGCCAGCTCCAGAGTCAAGGTGCTGAGCAGGCTGCGTTCCCACACAGTTGTTCCCAGGGAAGTATGAGTCCACGGGCACCTCCCATGCTTGGCTGGGAAGCCCTCGTGGCCAGGCTACCTGGGGGCAGCTGAAAGGAGAAGAGCCTTCAGGACACACAGCTGCGCTTCTCCCTTTGCTGTGCTCTCCCACAGCACCCATTTCTGACGTCCCCGCCTGTGGGTGGCACCACTGAGTGATGCAGGCCCAGAGGGAGACATCGTGTGCATGCAGGAGACCTCACCTTCTGTGTCCCTGGGGATGCTTGGTTGGCAGTGCCCAGACAGGACTGGCCCTAAACAGAACAGTCACCCACCCGAGCCCGAGGGCTGCAGTGACAGAGGAGGCCCCATCTAGCACTCCCCCCTCCTAACCATGGTCCCTTGTCCCATCAGAAGGCTCCACAGGGGGTGCCGGGCCCAGGACACAGAGAGGGCGGCTCTCTCCACAGGAACAAAAGGACATGGAAAGACAGGGCCTCACAGCGGGCCCAGGGGAAGGGAATGGAGTAACTGCGCAGCGGGCAGGTTGTTGTAGGAACTCTCCAGGCCTTGGAACCTGGCGACCGCGCTGTGTCTGAGGTTTCTGTCCTCCCTGCATCCCCAGTGTGCTGCACACAGGGGTGACAGGAGCTGAGAGCAAGGCAGTGGTGAGGCCAGTCCCTTACAGCAGGTGTGGTGGAATCTGGATCCTTGGCTGTCTAGGGGATGACGCCAGTGTGACCCTTACGTCACCTGTCCCTGCAGTGGGGCCAGCGCCCCTCATGAACATCAGCTCTATTCCCGCAGGGACCTGAGAGGCTGTGCTGGAGAGGGAGAGGGCTGAGGAAAGGCACGAGCTGCAGGGATTGAGCGGGGCCACAGATGCAAGGGCCTCTCAAGGACTCCATCACATCCTGCAGTTCCTTCTCAAATGTCCCAGGCGGCGAGCTCATGAACAACCTGCCTGTCGGCCACACCCAGCTCTGGGGTGGGAAAGCTGCCCATCTCTGCCAAACATGGACATCCTGGGCCCTGGCTTCACAGAGTTACTGATTTAGCCCCAGGAGGGCAGGAAAGGAGTCTGTTCCCTTCCCTGAATCCCTTCAAAGAGCTGAAGCTGGATGCCTCCCTGTGTGACGGCATCACCAGTGGGAACTTTCTCTCTCTCTCCATGGGAGTCCACACCTCTGGCCCTGTCTCCTGCACTGTGCACTGGGAAGAGCGCCCCAGGCGAGCAAGTGCGCGGAGTCCTCTCCTCCCTCCTGCATCTCACACTTGAAAGGCTGCAGACTCAGACTGATGGGACTTTGCAGGCAGCAGTGGCTCAGGATCAGCCTCTGCTCCGTGTGGACCCCTGTTCCTGCCCCTTCTGGGGAGGGGCGCACAGCCGGGTCTCCCTGTCCAGGTTCTCTGCCATGGACCAAAGCCATCTCCTGCGCTTCCTTTACAAAGACACACAGAGGACCAGAAATTGAACCTCCCAGATCCGGGCTTGGGACAACTGCACAGAATGAGGGGACCCACGGGCTACGTCCAGAGCAGAGTGCACTTCATGCCTTCCCTGTCGGCTGCACGGAAATGGTGTGGGATGACAGGCTGCGCCTATGCACAAAATGTCCCTGTTTGTGGGGGACTATCGTGGCGTCCTGGGAGAGTCACTGGGCCAAGTGCACAGATCTAGGGCAGCTGAGCCCCGGATGCTCCTCCCTCCTGTCATCAACTGGGCTGCAGGGTCAATGCCTCTCCATCTCAGCTCGGCCCTCGCCTGCTAAAGAAAACACGAACAACCCTGTCCCACAAAGCCCCACACCAGAGACCTCCCGCCCCTAATCTTCCTCCTGTCGTTTAACGAGGGAAAGTTCTCTCCTGTTACCTGCTGAGAATGCTAGTGTCCCAACGTCCCACCACCACATTCTACCACATCCAGTCCCTATGCCACCGCCTGGAGTCACACCCCACACTGAATGTACTCGCGGAGATTCCCTGTTTGACTCAACAAACACCATCAACACACAGACTGACTATTTTAGAGGTGAGGAAACAGAAATGCAGGGAGGGCCGGGTGTGGTGGCACAGGCCTGTAATCCCAGCAGTTGGGAGGCCTGGGCGAGGGGACCAAGGTGAGTTCAAGGCCAGCCTAGGAAGGATAGTGAGTTCAAGGCGTGCTGAACACAGTGAGATCCTATCTCTAAAAATAAAATACAATAAAATTTTAAAAAGGAAAGAAATGTAAAGCGATCCAGAGCAATCCATGACGCCCTGCAGCACAGTAAGTCAGCACACTAAGCACATGCGGGAACTCACCCTCAGCCGGGGATGTGAGGAACCACACACACCTCCCGCTGCCGCCTCTCCTTCCCGTGAGGATGCTGAGTGATGCGGCTGTTCCCCAGGAGCCCCGTCCTGTCAGGGAGGAAGGGGAGAGGAGAATCGTGTGGCTTCCCATCCTGTGTTTCTGCTTGCTCCTGCCCCGAGGAAGCCCCCATGTGCCCACACTCCAAGGAATATGTAGACGGTAGGAGAAGTGATGCGAAGGCAGCTTGTCTGGGGGGGTCTCCCAAGAGCTGCATGCCTTGGAGAGGCCCAGGGCTGACCAGGCCCAGTGGTCACCTCACCTGGGCAGGGCTGGAGGGCGAGGGGCTCAGTCATCTTGTGCCTCTCAGCATGGTCTCGGTGACTCTGCCCCTCTTGTCTCACAGGGCCATCCCGGGACCGCAGGTTCCTAATGCTGTGACAGAGGAAGAAGATGATATCCTTCTAACTGTGGAAAGTTTCCCCCAAGTTGGTCGACATCTGGGCCAGAAGTTCCATCACAGAACTGAAATCCCTAAGGGAGGAGAGAAGGTACCATTTATAACGAGAACTCAGCTTTTGGGCATGCTCAGGAATGATGACGCAGCAGGTCCTAAGGGAGAGAGGGCATGCTGGGTGAGTAACCAAAGAAAGTGACGACAGCAATGCGCCAGACAAGGCGCTCAAGCAAAGGAAGCACCATGCTTTGAACACATACTTTGTGGGCGCCTGGCTGGGAGCTTAGGTGCGCTCAGGAGGTGTGAGGCTCTGCTGAGGGAAAGAGACCATGGGCCCAGGGCTGTCCTTTCAGGACTGGGATCTCACACCACCTCTTTTTGCCCTGGTTCCATTTCTAGCTATGGAATCCCAGCCAAGCAAGGCGAACCTTGCAGCAAGAGGGGAGCATCTCCTCCCCACAGCCTCCCACAGGAGAGCCTATCCTTCTCCTGAGCACAGGAAAACCTCACGTTACTGCCCCTTGGGGCAGAGGGACGCTGGCTGAGTAAACATGAGAAGAAATGAAGGGGGGAACTGAAGGAAGCAGCACCAAGAACAGAATGCCCACTCCCGGCTGGTGCAGGGAGGCGGTAGAAATACAGAGCACTTCCTGCTTCCCTGCACCTTGGAGCTCAGGTGTCACCACTGCGTTCACAGGCCCTGACTTTCACACTCACCTGCGCAGCTCAGTTGCCTGCTCCTCCTGTGGTTTGCGGATGCCTTCAGGTTCTGCAAACAATGCACACACAATAGTCATGACACAGACTCACCTTATGACCCATTACACACCCTGTGCCCTGGGACACACGGGCATCAGTGTTCTTGGGGTGAGAACAGGATACTTGAGCAGAATATCCGAGGGATCTCAGGTTGTGTCTTCAAAAAGAGCTGGAAGGGGGCTGGGGATTTAGCTCAGTGGTTCTGCCTCCTGCCTTGCAAGCGCAAGGCCCAGAGTTCCATCCCCAGTAACAAAAAGCAAAAAGAAATGCTGGAAGGTCCCCTTCCCTATGGCACTGGGCAGACTGTCCCTGACCTCGTGAAACAAGATCACTCAACGCCCCTGGCACTGAATCTAGGGAACAGTGACGACAATCCTTTATCACACTGTTCAGGAAATGTAAAATAGTGGCTCTCTACAAAAATGCCTGCAGTGCCGACCCCGTACCCCATCAGACACTGCTTGGTGTTGGCGCTTTGGAGACTGAACTGAGGTCATGTGGACGGATGGACTCTACAGAGGCTCACGGAGGAAAGATGTTGAGCCTCCCCTGGAGACGGTTGCCCCTCCTCAGCCCAGCCAGGACCCAGGTGTCTCCCACCATCCTCCTCACTGTCCACAGGCACACACTTGGCAGCTCCGTCCCCACACTTGCTCAAGACACTGTTTATTCTGGCATGACAAGCCTTTCTGGACACTCAGCAAGATTCTGAATACATGCACTGAGCAGAGGGAAAACATCTTCAACCTATCAACCTGCTCTTTAACGAACTGCCAAGAAGGGATAACAGGACGTGAGAACTGGAGGGATTGGACAGGGCACGGATGCATGGATCTCTCCAAGGACTCTGCCACATCCTGCAGTTCTTCTCAAATGTCCTGTGAGGTGAGCTCACTCACAGTCTCCCACTTGCCACCCTCAGCTCTGGGGTCAGGAAAGCATCAGATCACAGCCAACCCCAGACATCCTGGGTTCCTGTGTTTCAGGCTTCCTTGTGTAGCATCAGGATGGCAATAAAGAAATCTGTTCTGTTCCCTGTACCTAAATTCCTTGAAAGAGTTGGTTCTGGTGCTGCCCTGGGTGATCTGTCACCGACCTTAACATTTTCGATTGTGTCAACTGTGTACAGACATCTGGCTCCTGCTTCCTCTACCACCTGACAGGAAAAGGCCCAAATCAAACAAGTCCCCGTGGAGTCTTGTCCTTCCTCAGGGATGTTGCACTTTAATGACTGCAGACTCAGATGTTTTAAAATTGAGATGTGTTTTTAAGTTTGAAATTATCCAAAACGAGTTGTTAGATGGAGAAAGCAAATGGGTGAACCCATGCAATCTCTGTCCCTGACCACTGAGGCTGCAGCACTGAGGACAGGGCCTCAAGCGTGGACTCGGACACATGCTCCCTGGGGATTCCTGGGCAGGTTGGTGACCTTGCTGAGCCTCAGTGTCCTCAGCTCTAACATGGAGACCCCACCCTGCCTGAGGGGGGACTGGAGGATAACAACCTCTGCCTCTTCCACCTCAGCAGAACAGGAACAGGAATAAGAACAGGTTGGTCGCGCTGTGAAGAGGCGCTGACTGCCCCACGGGGCTAGGGAAGGACATATGTCATGCCTACATTCACTCTACAGCATTCAGATTCACGGAGGGACGTCACACAGCTTGGTTTTCCCTAACAGTTGAATCAATGAGTACAAACACCCACAAATTCCAAGACCTTCTCTGTGATCAAAGACCAGAAGAGGTTGAGTGAGAAGAAAAGACATGCTAGGAGGCCTGGCCATGGGCTCCTGCCCAAGAAGACAGAGACAGGAAGCCTGCTGTCACCTCGTCAATTAGGGCAGGGCCCATCGCATGCAGCCTTGTTCATGACTGACAGGAAGCATAACTCTGAGACGAGACATGTGACTGAAATTCTAAAGCCAGACAGGGACAAAAGCCCTGGTGCTGGGAAGAGGACGAAACCGGGCCGTGGAGGGAGGAGGAAAGCACATTGGAGTGCTGCCCCAGAGGAAGGCACCGTGCAGGAGCAGCTGCTGTGAGGGGAGCTCCCAGCCTCGCTGATACACCTCCAAAGACCTGGGAAGTCCGCTGGCCCGTGTGCATGTGCAGAGCAGAGGGGGGACTGGTCAGGAGACGCCACTCCCAGCAACGCGACGGGAGCCCCGAGAGGACCCTGCGGAAAGAGGTCTGAGCCCGCTGTGCACAGGCTGCAGGGCGCCCTGAGGGCCTCCTGTCCCCTCCCCTCACTCTGTCCCATGTGCTGATCCGTGGTCTGCAACCTGAGGCCCCCTGACAGAGCCCTGCCAGGCACAAGGAACATGGCCCCAGAGCCCCCGGACCTCTGCCCCTGCTCTGCACCCTAAAGGGACTCCTGGACGGCTGCAGATGCCTCTCTCAGCCGAGACACCAGAGCTCAGCACAGAACTGGGGGATCCTGGACCCAGGAGCTGTACTTGTAGCAGGATGACAGGGACTCACTGGTTCCATCGGGCACAGAACTTGCTTCAGGCTCCTCTGCAGGCCGGCAGCGCGGATGTGATGTTGCCATTGGTAAGGTGCATCAGGATGCCCAGAAGCGAGGGGGCAGTGTTCTTCTACTGAATCTGACAGGAGTTCATCCACTTTCCCATCCTGCTGCTCACCACTGAGGGACGGGAGAAAGAGTGGGAAGAAGACTCAATCAAGATGGATGAGGAAATATAGCTTCCCAAGTGGGCCTCAACCAAAGCTTCAGGGTGAGTACAACACGTCTGACACTTGCTACAAAAGACAGAAGGAGACTGCTCCCCTCTGACCCAGGCATTGCTCGCCTACTGTGAGAATGTGACAGATACAAAGACAGGGAGAGAGACAGACAGATAGGCAGAAAGAAAAAGAACACAGGGAAGAGAGAGATGCCTCTGCTCAGGGCACTGTCCAGATAAGCAGCTCATGAGGGGAGAGAGCCAGCTTCCCGCTGAGGTGCAGGCAGGACAGGGAGCACGCAGTGCGAACCACAGCAGGGCCCCACCTTCTGTGTGAACAGGGTCCTGTGAATACAGGCTCCAGTGGTGGAGACTGCAGAACCTGGGCCTTCTGAGCCTTTGCTTAACAATGTTGAGACAAGAAATACTTTTCTGTCGGGTGATCCACAGCTTTCCTTGCTGTGCCTCAGCTCTCCATGCACTCAGAGCAACAGTTCAGAGCCAATGTGCACATTATCCTGACTTTAACCTCTCTGAGGCTTCTTTCAGGACAGTAACGCCCCCAGACTGCTTAGTTCTCCCTGCACAGATGCCCTCTCCAAATCCCCAGAGGACACACAGGGCCTTGGTGAAGGCTGTGGTGCCTTTGGCTGGGTGGATGACACCGTGGCCATCGGCAGGCTTTTCTCACCCTGACTGAAATCTGTGGCCACTCCCGACCCCGGGTCTTGGCTTTCACACAACCCCTCTCCCGTCACACTGGCTTACAGCCCTGACCATGCTCAGTTACCTGGAGTCCAGGGACTCTGTTTCTTCCTCATCATCCCCATCACAGTGCTGCTCTGCAAGCAAATTCAGACAGGTGCAGGCAGTCACTCCATGGTGCCACTTCCGCATGCCCACCCCGCCCACCTGAGTGCAAGGACACGAATGAGCAGGCAGGGTTTCCAGAGGGACGCGGGGAACTGCACTGAATGACCTCTGTGTCGCCTCAGCAGAAACAGTCTAGGGTGCATGCTGCTCCTCCATGCACAACGTCCCCATCTGGGGATGATTATCCTGGGAGCTCTGAGTTTCACTGGGCCAGGTTCACAAGGACCCTGGTCTGCTGAACCTGGAACCCCCCCGCTCCTGTCATGTGGTGGAATCGCCTGGTCAGTGGATCTACATCTCTCCGAGGCTCTCACATGCCACCTACTCCTCCTGCTAAGGAAAGAAGCAACAACTTGGCCCATGGTGCTCCACATACTGGGGACTCCCCAGCACCCCACATTCTCATCCTACCATTTGTACAGTAGGAGTTCTCCTGTGTTCCCTGCTGAGAATCCCAGTGGCCTCAAATCCCAGCACTAAGTTCTAATACATCAAGTTTCCAAAGCCACCCCTGGGAGTGGCTTGGCCCACGGACAGGACACTCACAAGGAGTCCCTATTAGAGTACTCCAAGTGTGATGCAACACACATTGGGACATTTTAGAGATGAGGGAACAGCAGTTCCAAGGATCAAGACCCTGTCAGCCATAATAATGTCAGGGTGAAGATACTAGGAAAAACCACCCTCACCCCAGGGTGTGAGAAATCTTTTTTTTTTTTTTGGTACCAGAGATTGAACTCCGGTCCTTGCACTTGCAAGGCAGATGGCGGAACCACTGAGCTAAATCCCCGGGCCCAGGTGTGAGAAATCTAACCCAACTCCCTCTGTCCCTTCCTTCCCGTGTGGATGTGGGATGAAGGCTGCTGGTGTCAGAAGCCCCATTCTATTAGGGATGTCAGTGAGAGGGGGAATCACGCGGCCTCCACCCCATGTGTTCCTCCTCTGTTCTCCAGTGCGGCATCCTGATGAGCCAAAACTCCCAGGAAAATGTAGAGTAAGGGAAGTGATGCAGACATGGCCTGTCTGCTGGGGTCTCCAGGAGCTCGGCACGTTAGAGGAGTCCAGTGTTGACCAGGGCCTGCAGCCCCTCACCTGGGCCGAGATTGAGGCTCAGGCTCTCAGCCAGCTTGTACCACTCTGCCAGCTGTAGGAGGCTCTGCCCTTGGGGTTCATCCAAGTCATTCTCAGTGATCAGGTCTTTGAGATTTTTGTGGAGGATGAATGTGACATTTCTTCCTTCTTCCAACTTCTTCCTTAACTGGGTCAGCTCTCGGGCTTGAAACTGAATCAGGAGGTTGAAATTGCTGAGGGACAAAAGAGGGGAAATTAATAATTACAACTCAATGGATGATAGATCAATAGGCTTGTTACAGTGATTCCTAGGAAAATATCCTATTAAAGCTTTCAAGAGATTCCTGGCAATGAGTGAGCCTCAATATTTTAAATATCCTATTCACTGGTCGTGTAGATCCTGGACATCTGCGAACTGCTAGGGTCGCTGCGGTTTCTTTTCCTCTGAATGTGCGATAGGACACATGTACATACACACGTGTGTGTACATTCGTTTGTAACGGCCTTCTTCTCAGTGAAATCCCTGACAATCAGCTCAGAGGATGTAATGTAAATCACTCACACTCTGCCTTTTGACCATACACAAGAGGACAGGTGTGACCTGGGAGGGCAGAGATAGCCTGAGATGGACTCGGAGGAACGCTCCAAGTACCAGAGAGAATGCAAACCTTGCTACGAGGAAGGCAATGGTGGGTGGGGGAATGAAGCCAGTAAAGCCAGCAGTCTGTGCGCCCTCGGCAATTGTGACTGTGGCCACACACTTCCTTGTCCTTTCAAGGACCCTCTCATGTCTTACCTGCTCCGATCGTCCATTTGGTAAAGTGGCTCTTTCTCGTCCTCATCTGTCTTGTTTCCAGTTTGCTGCAAATTGTGAAATGTCTAGTCAGTTATGGAGTAGCTCAGTGTCGTGCTGATCTATCTGGGCCTGATGATATCATTTTTTCTGGGTGATTTTAGGGTATAAGGAAGGAAGTGTACTGAATGGTCCCATAGTCTCTTTAAAGAAATGACCTGGCGTGGTTCTGTGATCCTCTAGGAAAATGACTGATGTCCTGGTGGGGTCAGGTTTAAAATGCCTTTTGTCCTGAGGTCCCAGGTACTGGTCCCACTGCCCTCTGTACGTCTGCACTGCTCACCTCGGTCCTGACACGAGCTTGGTGCCCAGGCACGGGCACTGTCCCTTCCCAGCTCTCCCTTAACGCCGTGCCAAGTCCCTTCTCTGAGACAAGGACAGAGCCCTGCCCCGGGCCCCTCTGCTCTTCCAAGCACCACCGCGGACTGCAGGGCGGTGTCTGCTCTGTCCTCCAGGAAAAGCCTCTGTGCAGGAAATCATGCCCGTACAGCAGCCTGCCCACCACCATTTCATCCACAGTAAATTCCTTCTCTACCCCGACACAGAGCCTTTTCCTTTGCCAAAGTGGCTCAGAGAACATGCCTACATGTTTTACACAGCTACCATGCAAAGCATGTGTCACCAGTTGAGCCAAAGGAAAAGAAATTTCTCAAGGATCCTTCCAGCACTCCACCACATGGAGTCCAGTCAGCACCAAGGACAGCGCCAGAGATACTCCTGAGTTGTCCAGTGCTTTCTTCATTCTGCAAGTGGCCTCCTGTCCCTCAGCAGCGGATGCCCTGCGTGGTGTCCCTGACTTTCCAGCCCGCAGTGCTCATCTTGTCTAGGCACAGGTGTGATGGGAAAGGACAAGGCTGGTAAAGGGTTGCTTGTGGCATGTGCAGTGGCCCGTGAGGAGGGACCGCACGGCAGGTCGTGTGCTTAGGGCCTGGGGTCCCCTCACCTGCGTGGAGCTGGAGGACAAGGTGTTTGGCCAGCCTGCAGCCCTCCACCAGCTCCTCTCTGTGTCTCTGGGCCCAGGAGGCATCACCAGCAGGTTCTTCCTGGGTGTGGAGGTGCTAGAGACACTGTCCAAGGGAGAAGGCAGCATCCTTCCCTTTCTGTAGCGGGTCACAGAGTCGGATCAGCTTCTGGGCATTGTTGTGGATTATGACACACCATGTCCTAAGGAAGGGGGGCCCAGCAGAGTGTAAATGGGGTCAAGAGAGTGACAATCATGTGGAGAGGGAGATCTCTGAGTGCATCCCAGGGGAGTCTTCCAAGAGAAAGCTCCGAATGTTGGGTGGCCAGTGCATGAAAGGTCTGGAGCATTCACAGGCAAAAGCAAGTGAATTTCTGAGCCACTCTATACAAAGATACTAGGTTTGGTCAAAGTTTTTCTGAATAATTAGTTTTCTGCTTATAAAAACTCTGGCAATGAGCTAAGGATCCAAATGCAGAGACCAGTCCTGCCTTCCTATCTGTCTTTCATCATAGAGAACCGGTCACATATGTGTGAATGTTGAAGCCATGAACATTGATTTTGTCCCTGATTTGTCTGTTGGGTAACATAGGAAATTGATAAGAAGTGACATTCCATATAAGAAAACCAAACAAAGTGAGCCACATTCCTTAAACACATACTTTGCAGCCTGTGATGGGAGGAACAGGTGTACCCAGGACATCTGTGGCCCCTGGGATGTGCACAAGAGGTCTCCCTGGCACCGTAGTTACCATCGCTAGTCCTCGATTGTCAGTTACCTGGGGGCCTCTTGCTCCCGTGGATCCTCATCCTCACACGGATTCTGATGTGCTGTGAATAAATCAGATGGGGAAGGTCACATCACAGCTGCCCTGCCTCATACACTGCGGCCCAGGGAGCTGCATTCTCTATGTAAAATGGAGCTTTCTCAGCATGACATGGCAGGAGCCTAGCACGTTTTCTGTAGGAACTAATGGGCTTGTTTCCCGAGCCACTGAACACACAGCCCATTCTGACAGGTCAGCAGCACAGGGCCCCAGCCTGCACCTTGGGACACAGTTAAGCATGCATCTTCCCCCGATCCTAGGGACCTTCCTAACGGCTACCCAGAGCTCTTGCTGCCACCGGCCCCAAAGTGGATCCCCTGTAAAGAACAGACACAGAGACGACACTGAGGTGAAAGATACCAGCTCTCCAGACAAAGAACCCTGGGTGCTCACTAAGGCACAGGACCCGTGGCTAGCGGTACAGGGTGTGGGTGCCAGGATGCAGCTTCAGGACTCTTGTCTTCCAAAAGCCCATGCACAAGCACAGCCTGTGTACAAGTTTAGGCCCTAGGAGCACTGCTTATTGAGAGCAAGCCACAGAGCACAACCTGAGCTCAGAGCCTGGAAACCTCTGTACCTTCTCCAAAAATGCAGGGGAGACTAAGGTCCCCATGAAGAGCCACTGATATTCAAGGAACACTACTGAAAAAAGACAATCACGGGCCTTTGTGGCCTATCTGTGCAATGCAGTGATTAAAGAGAATCTGTCTGTAAGTAAACAAATTGAAAAGGGCTGGAGATGTGGATCAGGGCAAAGCAAATGACTTGCGTCCACAATGTCAAAACAAAACAAAATACATGCAAGAAAATCAATGAGAAGATAATGGCTCCCAATGCAAAACATGCCGGTGGGCAGAAAAGGTATCATCCTTTTAGAAGCACCGTCCGTGTGTGCGGGACATCCTGGCTCTCCAGAGCCTTGCTGCCCGGGACCCACACGCTGCATTTCCCAGTGAGTATCCAGGTGAGAGTCCTGCGCCCTGGGGTCAGGAAGAGTATATGCTGCCTGACACACCTGGCCCCTGTGCCTCAGCCCTTCCTCCAGCTTGACCCACAGCAAGGTCCACACAGGCCCATCCGAGGACACCCCTGACCTGCAGACAGGGTTGAGGACAAAGCACATGGAGGCAGCTGGGACACACAGGAGCTGGAATCTCTTCTCAGGGGGGGCACTCACTGGGCTCACCCAGAGCAGAGGGAACCCCACGCTCCTCACCTGGGAAGCCTGGACTCTTGGCAGGCTTGGTGGACGCTGATAAGTCCTGGCAGGTGGAAAATGCCAAATACCTTTCATCTAAAGTGTACACCAGTGAATCGCTGACATCGTCTCCGTCCTCCAGGTACCTGGAAGGAGAACAGCATGGTAACCAGGAAGGACTGGACTTCACAGCTATCCCCTGGTCCACCCTGGACCCCTAAAGAGAGGTCACAGGATACACAAGGGACATTCTTGAGCAGTCAGAGTGCTGAGGCAGGAGGATCCCAGGAAAGGCCCAGCAGCCTGCACACATCAGCAAATTCTCAGGGTCCCTACTCAAAAGAAGATTTCCATAAAGGGCCTGGAGGGGTAGATGCAGCTCAGGGCGAGCAGGTGTGTGGCGCACACAGTGAGAAGCATCCAGGGGCTCCAACACCAGAAGCACTGGGCTCCATGTTACTTGCAGGGCACCTGGGAACAAAGGGACCTGAGGAATTGCTGAATCCCAGGGATCCCGGGTCTGCCAAGCCTGTCCTTTCCATACTGCAATTCTGCAGGATTTGCTTTTTGGCCTGGTTCTGTTTTGTGCTGTGGAATCCCCACCACCAAACTAAGCCCAAACTGCAGAAAAAGGGGGAGTGTCTCCGCTCAATGGCCTCCCACACGAGAGTGTCGAGCTTCCTTGATCTGAGTGCAGGGAAACCTGAGTGTAGTTCACTGTGGGCGACAGGGACTCCAGGTGATGAACCCTGGAAAGTAAGGGGAGGTGCGATCCAAGACAAAAAACCTCTGAAAGTAGTTCAACTCCGGCTTGGCAGAATGGATCAGGTAGGGAAGTTGAGCACTTCCCGCTTTTCCCTGCCCCTGAGACCTCAGAGGCCACCTCTGCCTCCACAGCCTGTGACTTTCACACTCACCAGGTCACCACTACCACCTCCCCCTCTTCCTCTTGCTTCAGGGTGGCTTGAGGTTCTGCAAACACACACACACACACACACACACACACACACACGCACAACAGTCACGACATGAACTCACCTCAAGACCCAGTACAAACCCCGGTGCCAATGGAATCGAATGAATGGCTCTCTGAGTGCTAGAACAGGACACCTGGGGGAACATCCTTGGGAGCCTCAGACTGTCCCCTAAGGAACGGGAAGACTTCCTCACTTCCATCCCTGGGCAGACCACGAGAGACAGAATGGTACTGATACACACACAGATGCCTGGACACACGGAACAGAAGAGAGGGTGCAGAAACAACCTGGAACACTTTCAGCCATTGGATCTTGGACAAAGGGGGCAATAACCTATGCTGGAGAAATAACAGGCCACAGACAAACGGCGCTGGGAAAACTGGTGATCCACATGCACAAGACCGACTCTGCCCATCTCTCTCACCCTGTGCTGAAAGCAAACCCCAGTGGACCATAGGTCTGGGATAAAAACACAAACTCTTGAAGACAAAGCATAGGCATGGAGGTCCTCAGCAGAATGCCCACTGTATAATACTAACAAGCTACAAAATCTACAAATGGAATTGTATCCGATCACAAAGGTTCTACAAAGTAAAGGAAACCACCAAGAGAATGAGCAGAGACCTACCAACTGGGAAAGACATTTATGCCAGCCAATTCCTCAGACAGAGGCAGAATATCTACAAATAGGAGAACTGAAAAATATCAGATGTTACATATAAAAGGTCCTGGCATGCCCACTGTGGGACACACCTGGCCTCTGTGCTTCACTTCCTTCCTACAGCTTGACTCACAGCACAAACTGGGTAACTGAAACCAACACATCCCATCAAAAGCAGAGGAAATGGCCAATAGGCACGTGACAATATGTTGAGCATCTTGGGAAGTCAAGAAATAACAATCAAAATAACACCAGAGTCTGTGTTATTCCAGTAAGAATATCTATCATAAAGAACAAATGCTTGAGAGCTTGTGAGGAAAAAGGAACCTTCTGCTTTGCTTAGGAGAATATACATTGATACCACCACATTGGAAATTAGTGTGGACTTTCCTCAGAAAACTCAGAAGAGAATTCCATTGGACCCAGCTATCCCTCTCCTTGGCATCTGCACGAGAGAGTGGAAGTCATTGTAGCACAGTGCTGCATGCACATGCATGCTTACCATTATGGCTTACATCTAGATGTCCCCCCAAAGCCTTCTGTGCTCAGAGGCAGTGCTTCTGGGAAGTGACTGGATCCTGCCTCTGATACTGGGCTAGTTTACTCTGATACTGGATGGGTTTACATCTGGGTGTGATGCTGGGAGGTGAAGCCGGTGGTGGAGTGGGTCCCTGTGGGCATGGCCTGGAGATAGCTATACACCTCCTCCTGCCTCCAGCCTTTGCTGCTTCCTGCCCACCATGTCATGAACTCTTTCTTTTCTACCATGTCATCTTGCCTTAGAACCAGCAGCCAACTATTCATCGAAACCTCTACAAATTGTGAGTCAAAATAAACCTTTCCTCCTTTCATTTATGTCAGAGATTTTGCTCAAGCAAAGAGAAAGTAACTAAGACGCTTATACTAGCACAAGCATTATAGACATGTAAAATATGGAAGTGGTCCATAAGCCCATCAAAGATGAATGGACAATGAAAAGGTGGTAAACGTACACAAGGAATACTACTCAACCATGAGGAAAGATAAACTGGAGACACTGATGGGAAGGTGGATGGATACTGAGATCATAATTATAGGTAAAACAATGAACTGAGGAAGTATAAATGTGACAGGGGTTCTCCAATATGAAAAACCCAAAGAAAAAGGAGTTTCAACAGCCAAAGAAAAGCCAGATGACTGGAAACAGGGAGGTAGAGTCTGAAGTGGCAAGGGAGGCTGAAGGACAAGGAGGGGAGGCGTGGTGGTGGGTGAGGCAGAGAACAAAGGATCCAGACGGGGTACGGACACCCTCCAAATCCCCAAGGGTGATGCAGTTCTCCTATGCTGCAAGCACACACTGTCTATCAAAGAGAATGCCGGAAGAAAACACTACACAACATTAACTCTGAATGGGTGACATCTGATTCCTGTCACTGGGCACTGTCCCCGAAGTCATCATGGAAGACCACACAGTGCCCTTTATACTGAATCTACCCGTCAGTGAGGACAGTTTCTCTTCACAATCCTTAGGAAACTCTAGGCAGTGGCCATCTGAATACCTGCCATGCTCAGTCCTCATGCCGTGAGGCGCTCTGCTTGTGGGAGGCACTGAGAGAATGCTACCTCTGCTGTCCGATGGGTCCCTTTGGGTCTGCAGAGCCTCAGGGAGGAAGGATCTGGGCTCGCCAGAGAACAAGACCTTTTCAGGGCAGAGGGTGGAGAGAGCCAGGGCCCAGGCCCTGCCTTCAGGAGTCAGGTCAGACAGTGAAGGAGCGTGTGTGTGTGTGCTGGCAGCCAGAGGACAGCTTCTCATGGACAAACTGAATTAGAAGAGACAGAGACAGTGACCGGAGTTTAGGAAGGGTGACAACACTAGCTCCAGTGAAAGACTCCAGGGAAAAACATGTGCACAGTCACTAAAGATGAAAGCGCGCCAACAATTAGCAAGAACACTGCAGGACAGATGAGCCGTCACGGCTCCACAGAGTGACGTTCTGCAGAGCCTGCCGCCTCTGTCATCTCTCCCACCTCGTTGCTCCTCTGCTCACCACCCTGAATTTGCCACTGCATCCCCACAAATACGGCTGAGTATGAGCAGAGATCGCTTTATACTGGAGGACTCACAAGCTGTATCTGGAGAAGGGGAGACCTCATCCACAGGAAAGCCGGCCTGCAGGGAGGCTGCTGGAGGTCACTCGGCTCACCGGGACTGGACGGTGTCTCATGGTCCTCATCTTGCGAGCTCTGAGGCACTTGTTCTTCCGCTTCTCCACTCCTCCTGTGCTCATCCTGATGGGATGAAGACATGAAACCAAGAAGGATGGGGTGGAAGGTTCCAGGTGGTCCTGACAGAGGTGGAAGGGAGTGGTCACAGAATGTAAGGGGCCAGACCTGAATTCAGGGAGAAAGAAAACCCTCCCTAGGAGGAGACAGATGCAGCTGCTGTGATGCAGACAGGGCGAGTGCTCAGTGCACGGGCTGCACAGTGGCCAGATGAGGACAGAATCGCATGGCTCCCTGTGTGACACAACCACAACCCGCAGGACACCCAGAGGACCACAGCAGGGTCCACCTTATCTATGAAGTGGGCTGACTTTCCCATGCCACCCTAACACATGTAGAGTCCAAGAGAGCCATGCTGTCCATGACTCTTCCACACGGACGGTGATATGACACACATCTGATCTTGCTAGGTTCCTCGTATGAAATCCCTGCCAACGAGCTAGGGACACCCATACAGAACCAGGCCCGCATCTCAGTCTTGACTTCTCCACACAACAGAGCAGAGAGGATTCTGGGAATTCAAAATTTTGGTGAGGCTGGGGAGGTCCGCTAAGGGACAGACGAGTACCACAAGGACAATGGCCACATGGATATGAGAGGTGTTCTTATTTGGTTGAGGTTACCTCAGCAGGGGACATTTTGCTTCCCTTTGCAGATGAAATCTGTGGTACTTTTTTTTTTTTTTGGTACCAGGGATCAAACTCAGGACCTTCCGCTTGTAAGGCAGGTGGCAGAACCACTGAGTTAAATCCCTGGCCGTATCTGTGGTACTTTTGACCTCCTGTCCTATGCATTTGGGAGCCACCTCCTACTGTCCCCATCCTAGTAGAGGCCCTGAATATTCATTGTTACCTGGGGAGCAGTGATTGACATTCTTTTCCACTCTCCTCCTCTAGATTCTCTGAAATGAAATTCATAAATGTCCTGTGAGGTACTGAGTAGTTCCCTGTCCACCATCAGAGACCCCATGGCCTCTGTAGTTGTGGAAATGGAAATATCTATGGATCTAGGGCATGGGCATAAGCTCCCCTCCTCTCTGGAGGCAGCACATGAGGACCCCATTGCATAGAGAACTGTGTTCTTGCCAATTATATTTCTGGTGGTGTGCTGGCAATTCGGGGTCGTATACACAGAGCATAGAGGAGGCAGGGACACTGAGACGCCCCTGGGAAGGTGACAGCCCTGGTCGCAGGCTCACTAGAAACAGACACTGCAACACAGGCCTGTGCCCTTCTTCCTCTCCTTTCACACCTGCCCACCCATCACCAGGGCTCCCGTGTGAGAGCGGAGCAGCAAAACTGAAGGAACGGCCGACCCAGATTTTTAGCAGAACTAGCGAGACACTAGCATATACAAAAGTAAAAATAGCCATAGGGACGTTTGACTGTGGTACCTGGAGTTAAAACATATACACACACAACGCAGCTGAACCCCCGCCAGAGAAACAGAAACCATCCCGAAGCACTTGGTTGACCTCCACTCGTGTCACCCAGTTTATCTCGGGTAGCTTCTGACATACAATCTGAAGACATCCCAGAGGCAAAGGACAGCTTTTGAAAACAGACCAGAGAAACTAAATTTAGAGTTCTCAGCAGAGGAATTTCAACCCTGTGTTCTCTAGGGCTTTACAGGCTAACAGCTCTAATGGGAAAGGTAGACAGAATTGAGAAGAAATAGCAGATAACAAACAACCATCAAAGAAGGCCTCGGATGGGCTCCCCTAACCCCAACCTAAATGTCAGCAGAAACTTTGGAAACTCAAATGCGAAGAGAATGAGAATGAAAAAGTAAAAAAGGACCCCTAGCTGGTGGCTGGGTGTATACATCTCAAGAGTAGAGCACATGCCCATCATTACAAGGCCCTGAGTTCCACCCCAGGATCACTCAAAAGAAAAACATAGAAGAGAAAGGAACATGTGAAAACACTGGGAAAAATTTTTTTTTTTGGTACCAGGGATCGAACTCAGGACCTTGTGCTTGTGAGGCAGGTGGTGGAACCACTGAACACTGGGAAAATTTTAAGTGGTAAAACTGACGAACAATAAAAATAGCAGAAGAAGAGAGACAAGCTCAGCAGAAATATTTAAAGTAACAATACCTGAGGAAGCCCCTAAGGCAATCAATCATGCACACAGTAGCACAGATACTAGAAACTCTGAACACAAGCAGGGTGATCACGAAGAACCCACACACAGCCTAAGCACATGACAACGTCAGAAAAGCAGACAGCAAGGAAACCTGGAAGTAAGGCCGAAGGTGTCACAGGCTAGTACTCCACGAGATTTCTCTTTAGAGATGCTAAAAACAGAAACGAATAGAGGAGGAGCGATGGAAACAAAAGCAAACTCCCACTATCCAATAACTACCCAATGAACTTGGAAGGTAAAATGAAAGACAACTAGCCCAGACAAATCAAAATTAAGACTATTTGTTTTCAACAAAACTGCTCAGCAAGCATGTCTGAAAAAGCATCCTCAGAAAAAAACAGCATGAGGTAGGCTAGAACTCATAGCTACAAAAATGAAATGTATTACAGAAAGACAGCAATGAAAGGATATGATAATCACTCACTAAAAAATTTCCAATACAGGGGCCGGAGATTTAGCTCAGTGGTTCTACCTCCTGCCTGGCAAGTGCAAGGATCTGAGTTCAATCCCTGGTACCAAAAAAAAAAAAATTCCAACATAAAAAAGTACATAACATGAAAACATGGAAGTGTAATTGATGTCACAGTGAAGGAGGGAAAATGAAAGGACAGGAGATTCTCAAGTAATGGAATTCCATTAAAAACCAGCAGATTATTTTCAACAAACAAAGATTCTCAAGTTTCAAGGGAAAGTCCAAAGACTCAGGTCAAACAATATTAAAAGGGACAAAGCCAAAAGGCTGACATTTCTCAAATGGAACTTACTGTGTAGCTACAGAAATCTAGACAAGGCCTTGCTGGTGAGGACAAGCAGACATATCAGTGGATGGGAACAGAGCTCAGAATTAGACCTCACAAACAGAGTTCACAAGGAGCTAGGGCCATTCATGGAGAAATGAGTCTTTTAATAAAAAAATCCTGGAAAAAACAGTCACAGGCCACAAAAAAAATACTTAGAGACTGCATACTTTTCACAAAAATTAAATCAGAATGACTTTAGACTAGAGTGAAAACCCCAAATTTTTCACAAAACATGATGAATAAGAAAAAAAAAGAAAAAGAAAATCAAGCCGACCTTGGCCTGGGACATCACTTCTCAGACAGTACAGAAAGAGCACAACGCATGAAACAGAGAATGAGTGAGCTGGACTTTGATGAAATGAACCACTGCTCCATGCAAACTGTAGAAACTGCTCAAAGGTGAGCCACACACTGGGAGGAAATCTTTGCAAACCACATGACTGATGATACACAGAGACTGAGTCTCTGGGGATCTGGGTGAGGGAGGGATGGATGCTTGGATGGACACGGTGGACTTTTAGGGCAGGGAACTGTTCTGCGTGACACTGAAGGGGGCTGATGTCAATACCCACGTTTCCAAACCCACAGGATGCCCAGCACAGAGTGAACCCGATGGGCACTGTGCTGTTTAGTTACTAGGAACTATCACTGTGGCTCCTTGCTCACAGGGAAGGAAATGCAGCAGCCTGGCTGTGTCATGACGGGGAAGTCCTCTCTGTGGAGGTCTTGAAATCTATTGTGTGTTACTGGATCGAGTACCTAAACCAACCCCGAAGAAAGAGGGTCTTTATCTTAAGGGTGCTCATCGGTATTCCATTCCCACATAAAGTAGCTGCACTGATCATATAATCCACTTTTATACAGCAAGAAACAGAAATTCAGGACAGAAGAAAGGATCAGTCACCCACAGAAAGCTTTCAGACTGGAGCACCGTTCTTAGTCTGAAATGACCTTCCCTCTGAGAAGCTACTGCCTGTCACATTCCCTCCTCTGATTTGGCCCTGGATGGATGCAACCTGCTCAGCCAACAGCATGCTCCTCAGGGACAAAGGGCACAGTAGACGCTGTGACCTCCATGCTGTACATTTACCTCCTATGCGGCCACTCAAGAATTCCTGATTTTGCCATGGGCCTAAATATGACATTGGAATAGACCGGCTTGTCAACAAAGTCACTGTGCATGTGGTGTCCCCAGCCCTCATCCTGGAGCGGCTCAGTGTCCTCAGAGCCTGTGACCCCCTCAGCTGGGCTCAGCTTTCCGGCAAGGTTCTCTGCCAGCCTGCAGCCCTCAGCCAGCTGCTGTCGGAGATCCTGACCCAGGGTGGTGTTGGGGTCATGCCAGGTGAGGACGGCCTTCAGGTGCTCCTTGAGGAGCAATGACTCATCCCTACCCTCTTCTAACTTCTGCCTCAGCTGGGACAGCTTCCTGCGCTGTTCTCCTATCAGAATACAGGACTTCCTAGGAGGAAGACAGAGGACAAGGTGAGCCTGCAGAGGTGCACAATGGAGTCCACAGGCATGGACAGACATGGGCATTGGGCAGAAGGAATCCTCCAAGCAGGATTCAGCCACATGTTTGGTGACCGCTCTGTGGCAAAAACAAAATGGAAAAAGGAGACAAGACAAAGTCCTGTGTATGAGAAAGTGCTCCTGTTGGGTTCCTGAGCATTCCCTTCCGCACTTCTTCTGGAATAAAAGCCAGTGTCTCCTAAACTCACCTTTCTAAAGATGCCCTGAGACTTCCTCTTTGACTACAGACATTTCTGTGTAAAGAGAGACTCTGCGCTGCACAGAGCTGGGACACACACCTGACACAGACATGAGTCTCAAGACAGCTGGGGTAGCTGGAGACAGTGAAGGACCCAGAGCTCTGCAGGCTCAGGGAGACACAGGAAAGGACGCACCTTCACCACGCAGGAGGGACAGGAGGAAGAGGGATGAGGGAGGGACAGCATCACAGCAAAGGCTGGGACCTCAGCAAATGGCATTCTTCCCAATTTTTTATGAGTGACCCTGGGGGCTGTGCCTGCCAGGTGGCTTCTGCCCTCCCTGGCCCATGCCAGCTCTTGGCTCTGACACCCAAGCTGCCCTTTCGGGGATGCACGCACCTTCCCACCTGCCTGCCTTGCATGTACCCCCTTCCCTGAGCTGCCCGGCAGTGAAAGCTTCTCCACCAACTCCTGCTCCTTGGGCTGCAGCCTCTCGCCGAGCACGGAATCGATGACATCCTTGAACTTTGTACTTTCTGAGAAAACAAAGATGAGCCTGCCTCAGCGGACAGCTGGACATGCAGCTGTGGGCACCGCCTGCAGAGGAGCAGGCCACGCCCATCGCAGGGACAAGGACAGCTCAGGACCAGGCTCTCTGCCAGCATTTCCACATTTTGATTTCCTAGTCTCTTAAACAGGTATGTCTGATGGTCTCCATTAGAGACAAGCTGCCAGGCGAGTACAGTGACAAATGACTCTGCCGGTGTGACAGAGTCAGAACTCACATCCCCAAGTCTCAATGGGCATCCAGGACCATCGGAATGGCCAGGCCTGCAGCCTCTGAACTCACACCCTTAGCTGGGCATGAAGCGGTGCCAGGTGTTCTTGGAGTAGAGCTGAACGTTCCCGTGGGATGGGATTCCTGTGAGGAACATGGTTCTCAAAGACTAAAGAAAAAAATCTTCCCTGGCAATGTGTATTCAATGTGCGGCAAGACAGAGTGAGGAGCCGACAGTAAACACCCAACACTGTAAAGCTGGTGCTCAGGTGGAACAGCAAGGCCCACCGTGAGTGGGCACCTGTGCCAGGTGCTGCTGTAAGAGTGTCACTGCAACTAACTCAGAGCTCACTGCGACCCAGTGACGGCCGGACTGGTGGAGACCACAGAACAGGAGGAGCCTGAGGGCACCAGGAGGAGACTCCAGGATTAGAGCCCAGGGACGGGCCCGGCACCTGCGCTCCACACATGTCCTCCACAGGGCCTGAGGACGGCTTTCTCTTCGGTCACGGTCACCCTCAACATCTTTTCCTGCGATTCAATCTGACTCTATGGACGACATGAGTGAAATGCAGTTGGCCCCTTCCCAAAGCTCATCTGGAGACTCCTTCACAGGGCTCGCTTTTTCTCATTTTGAGCCCCTCTCAACTGACCAAACCCCTGCCAATGGATTGCTGGAAGGAACACTGGGTCAGTGTTAGGACTTCGGGCTCAGAGCCGGTGACGGTCCCTCTGGTGGTGGCGCTGGCCCAGGTGCCGTCCCTGACTCCTTGGTCACCACAGCCCCTCTCCTGCACAGGCTGATCGCTCTGCTATGGGGCCCAGCGAGGGAGGGTGGCGCCCTGCTCGGGACCGGGCCGGGCCACAGCTGGCCTCCTCCACACCGCCTCTCCTGCAGCCTCACGTCTGACTCAGGCCCCCGAGGTCCACCTGGACCTGCTGCCCAGCCCCTCCCGAGTCCACCCACTCTTGCTGCTACAGTCTGTTATCCCAACTCGGCCTCCACTGAATCACAGTGGCCGGCTCGCCTGGACCCCTCAGAAGAGCCTGTGCCCCAAGAAGCCGGTCTCCCTCTTCTCATGGCAGTTCCTGGACTCCATGGTGACAAGGATGGCAGCTGCACATTCAGTTAGGAGCAGAATCCCCGAGCTCCTTTCAAATTGTCATGAGCACTGTCCCCAGCTTTCCTCAGCATAACCAGCAGGGTGCTGTGCCCTAGAGACCCAGAGGATCCCAGTCAAAATGTCCTGACCTTCCCTTGAGAAAACCAGACTATTCCATGCCTGCACCGGGAACCAGTGACTGGGATGTCAGCCCTAGTCTCAGCCCACACCTCACCATATCTAGGAGAAATGGGTGAATGCTCTGAACCTGTTCTCCGTCTTCACCAAATGGAGGGGAAAATACAAACTTCTACCTTTCTAAGGCTACAGTACGGTATTTTGAGGAAGGAGAAGAATCACGGTTTGGGGCTTTTCACTTCTCAGAGAGAAAACGTGTTCCTTCGTCACTCTGGTGACTGTGAACCTACAGAACTTACTGTGTTTCCGCAGCTCGGTGGCCAGGACACAGAGAGTAGCTTCAGTTATACGGAAGTTTGGTTCGCTTGTCTCGCAGTTGCTGTTGGCTCTCTTCCAGCTGGAAGTTCAACTCCGGGTTGATGTCAAAGTAGGTCATTTTAGCCCCTCGATGACAGGAGGGGCTGGGAGTTACTGTCATGCTTACGGCCTCTGCGGCAGAGGGGGCAGAACTGAGCCTCGTGGAGAAGAAACCCAAACACAAGGTGGCTTCAAATCAAAGGAAATCAAACAAGTTGGATCAGGACTGAGGGAGGACAGTGAGTACACGGATGAACTCACGGCTGAGAACAAGGTGACCGACACCCAACACACTTGAGAATTTCACAGTGAAAACAGGTGTGCAGAATCCGAGTTCAGAGCAGAAGGTACTGCCTGCGGCTCAGACTCAGACACGCGTAAGGCAGTCATGGCCCAGTGTGCCTGGCAGTGGCCGACAGTTGCAGCATAGAATTGGAAGGTGGAGATGTCACGGAGCGCCAAGGAGCCCCTGCCTTCCAGCTGCCCGGGCTGTGCTGATAAACAAGGCCCCTGGTCTCTTTGCAAAGGCACCCTGATGTGCACCCTTTCCCAAAAACCCTGAGCATATTTCCCAGCGTTCATTCTTCTGTACAGACAACATCATCAAAACACAAATTGTTTTCCCGCAGATTATATCTTCCACAGGGCTGGAGTCATCTCACCATTTCTTTATCATTATGTTTCTTACTGAAGTGAAAACTGCAAACCCATGGAAATGTAAGAATATAACCCTATCATGATGTTCTTCTGTTCACCCATTATTTCTAAATCACTGAAATGTACAGAACACAGACCAGTATGTAACACCAAGTGGATCGATTACAAAAGCTGAAAACTGTTTATGTCCTTTGTCAATATCATCCTTGCTGCATTCCATTTTTATGTTGGCTTCCTTTCTCTCCCTGACATAACTGTTGGCTTTTCATAACACCTACATTAAATTTCATATAAGGAGCTAACTCAAGCTCCTTCTCTCTGATGGGTGGCTTTTTGTTGCTGTAGTTTTAGCCTCACTAAACAGTACAATACACAGGGGCCATTGAACAATTTTATTCTAGCACCACAGGAGCTTTCTGCAAGGGTCAACCTGATTAAAAGTTTAAAAACCTTGAATACTACAGGACCATGACCCCTGTCCTGCACTGAATTCTGCCTACTTCCCTTCCTGATCAAGATATTGACATTGCAGGAGATTCAGTACCCAACCTCACAGTGCTCAGGCTCTGTGTCCCATGTCTGCGTGGCTTCTCCTGTTTCAGTTATTATGTAAACATCGCCAGTGAAAGGAAACCACAGATGCGACCCGTGCCAAGTGTGTGTGAGCCCTCCCCTGTGAGACACTGTGGAGAGATTCCCCAGGGTCCTTTCATCCTAAATCTTCAGGAGACAGAGAGCCCAGGGCTGTGCCCCGTCACTGTCCTCTTCCTTCTCCAGGGTAGGCTCAGCAGTGTCTGTGACGGATGTCATCACCTAAGGTAATGACAGTTTTTAGTGACCCTTGGTGACGCAAAGTTCCTCTCAGTAAGAGCTGCCGTGGACGCCTCTGTGTCCTCCGTGTAACCGGCACAGCGCTTTAAGCACAGGGCCACAAACGCACTGCCTGAGCTGAGCTACTGCAGACCCAAGCTCTGGAGCCCAGGAGAGCTTTTCTACCTGATGTGGATGGAGCGGGCGGCAAGACAGGCACAGCATAGGTATTAGTTTGTGTTCGTTTTAGTGAAATGAAACTTACTGCTTCTCCACCATTTGAGCATCAGATAATTAGGATTTTGGTCACATAGTCACACACCTATGTTTTCAATACGAACATAGTATTTAATTTACCTTTACCTTTATGAGGGAGAAACTAGTAGAACTGGAAGGACTACCAGAGGGATTGGAGGACATCATGATCGTCGAAATGATGAGCTTGTAAATCTTACTGAACTTGCCTCCTCATTTCTGCAGCTGACGGGAACACAGTCAGGGGACACTGATGAGGTCACCTTCATCCTCAGACCTGAGCAGTGTGAGTGGCCTTCAGCCAACCTGGAGCCCAGGAGGTGATGATATTCTGAGAGGTCACAGTCATTACAAACTTCAGACAGGGGTTGCAACTGCGGGAGAAGCCAGTCGGAGAATCAACACAAACACTGATGCAGTCCCACCCAGCAACAGCTCCCCTGTCCAAGGAGCCCATGGTCACTGCCTGTCACTTGCTGGTTTCCCTGTCTGAGAGCTCTGGGGATGCTGAGGTGACAGTTTCTCTGTCTCTGTCTGCACCATTCCCAGCTCAGGCCCCAGCATCTCGGATCTGAACAGCACTCACTCAATGACAGCACCAAAGTGCCCGCAAACCTCCCATCATCAAAAGGATGATTCTGCACATGTGTCCTGTCACCCACAAACTGCTCGTGTCCTCCCTCTCACAGTTTTGGGTTCTTTCAGAAAGTCTTTCTGTTATCTAGACTCCTAAGTTTTTGGGGTTTTTTGTTTGCTTTTTTGTTTTTGGTACCGGGGATTGAACTTGGGACCTTGTGCTTGGGAGGCAGGCAGTGGAACCACTGAGCTAAATCCCTGGCCCTAAACTCCCACGTTTTAACACAGGGTGAGAAAAACTGAGCAACTACCAAATATACAAGAGATGCTGTGGGCAAACTTTCACCTAATGCAAGTGGAGAAGGACAGGAGGAGATCACTTCTCGGCCTCTGGCTAAGATCAAGTGAAGGACAGAAGAGTCTCACTAGTTCTGAGGCAAAAGTCCCCTGTCCTGCACCTCCCTAAGTTATAGCAGGTGAAGAGACAGAAATGAAAGTAGCTTAGGTTACAAAATGCAGAGCCAGCTGGGCATGGTGGCATATGCCTATATTCCATTACTCGGGAGGCTGAGGCAGGAGGATCACTTTGAGTTTGGGTCTAGCCTGGGGTACACAGTGAGTCCAACGCCAGCCTGAACTACATAGAGAGACCCTGTCTCAAAACAATAACAACAACAGCACAGCAGAGCCAGGACAGTTCTGAGGCCCAGGCTCTTTGCAGGAGGCTGCCTGTCACTCAGAGACTACCAGGGCCACCAGACCCATACGTGGGAAGGGGAAGGAAGGCTGAGGGTCAGTGCTGATGTCACCTGGTGAGCACAGCACCTCCACCATGGGCCAGAGATGTCACCTTCTGTCCAGGTGTCCTTTCTCATAGTGCAGAGGGAGCACTCGTCACATAGAAAAGTCTGCAGGAAGAAAAAGGACCTTCAGTGTCATGAACGACTTGCTAGGCAAGTGACAGGAAATGGCGAGGATTCTGGCAGTCACTAGAACTGGCTGGGAAGCTTCTCTCCTAGAGCAGTGTGCATCCGACCAATGCAGGCTGACAGTGCAAAAGTCCCAAGGTCCTCTGGTGTGACAAGACAGATGCTCGTCAACGTGCCTTGGGACCAAGTCCCAAAGAGCATATCGTGAGCTGAAAGTGCATTTAATGCACCTAACCTCCCAAACCTCATAGCTTAGCCAGGCTGGCCTCAAATGTGCCTGGAACACTGGCATCAGCCTACAGCTGGGCAAAACCATCCAGTGCGGCCTCTCATAACAAAGTGTGATCTCTCACGACACGTACTGAACACTGTTCTGAAGGTAAACACCAGCATGGTCACGTAGGGACCCTTTCCCACTGTCGTAAGGTCAAGGACTTGTAAGCAGAACCTTCCTCAAGTCAGGGACCATGGTATAAAGAAAAAGGCCTCCGGGCCCCGCCCACTGACCTCTAAGGCACCCAGAGCCTGCCTGCTCACTCAGCCTCCTCACTGCTTTGAGCCTGGGGTCTAGAAACGCATGCAAATGCCCAGAGGAGGCTGGGGGAGGCAAGTCAGACTCGGAGCTCCTCGAGGCTCGAGGGACCTGAGATCACGTTTTAACTGCTCCCTACATGAGTCTGAAACACTGGGCTTTCTGGTCTGCTGAAATAACCTTGGGCCCCGTTCACCAGCAGCTGCTGTATTCCAATTAACTCTGAGGACCGGAGGCGTGGCTCAGTGGCAGAGCACTTGCCTAGCACCTGCAAGGCCCTGGGGTGGCTCCCCAGCACGGCAAGACTTTGCACACTGTGAACTGTGACTGTGAAAGTCACATGAGCAGGAGAAGGGCATAGGTCCACCTCCAACACGTGCGGCCAGGAGTGACTGCAGGGACAGCTGAGTCCCAGAGGACAAGGACCCTGCAGAACCAGGGAAACACAGTCACTCAGCCCTCAAGGGGTCCTGGGGACACTCAGATGCCCTACATCGGGCTTGAGGCTCACTAGGTGGGACACAGGAGAGGGGAGGGAAAGGACCAACGGCCATTTATACTGTGACCTAACTTTACTCCAAATGACACCTGGGAAGTTGGGAGGAAGAGAAAAAAATATATACTTTACTTTTTGGCCATTGAAATATTCACCTCCGAAAAGGATTAACTCATCTTTCTCAGGATGTGCAGAGAGGGAGGCATTCAACCTGTAAGAGATAGGAACAGCGGATGAGCACAGTCCCAGCAGGCCCCAGCAGGAACCAGGCCCCTCCCACCTGCGCGGCTGTCACCAGAGCCTGGCCTTCCCTAGACCCCGAGAGAGAGGGCCTGGGCCTCAGGACGGAAGCACAGGCACCACCCTGGACCCGACCTGCTGGTCGCCAGCCCGATGCCAGGCTCGTGCTCCAGGGAGAGCCCTGGTCTGGCTGCTGCACTCAGAGCCAGCCGCTGACATCACCGTGGGAAGGAGCCTAGCCCTGACTTCCGTGCCCAGTCTCCAGCCCCATCCTGCTTTCGGTGTCTGGTCGCTCACTTCACAGTCAGAACTGTTCTCCAAGGTCCTGCCTGGGAAGTACTTCAACAGTGTGCCAGGAGCCCTCCATCTAGAAAACGTTACTGACTTCATTTACTTCCCACTCAGGACAAAAGTCAAAACACGCACACTCTGACTATCTCAGTAGAAAGCTGGAAAAGATGCGGGGACTACGAGGCCCACACTGGAAAGGGCCCTGCGCTCAGAATCCTCTGCAGGGCTGTGCACAGCGTGTCCACACCACTCCTCCCAAGACAGCTTCTCAACGGATAAACAGGTTTCACGGTCAAGTAAGCTGGGGCAATCTGAAGCCTCAATTTTCTCTTGGGGATTTACTGTGCACCGGAACATTCTATAGGCTGAGAAATTTAGCAGTAAAAGCCAGTACGAAAGAGTGCAGCTGCCATGGAAAACAGCTCGGGAGCCGCTCAGATGGCTCAATCCAGAATCACCACGCGTCTGTGGTTCTCCTCCTGGGTCCAGACACAAACAGATGCCCATCCAGCAACGCTCACCGCAGCAGGATTCACAGCGGCCAATAAAGGGAAAGCCGCCCAAGCCCCGATGGGAGTGGATCCACTACATGGATCATCCAGCCCCAGGAAGGAAGCAGGCTCAGATCCCTGCTGCAACACGGATGACCTGGGAAACAGACAGGCGGAAGCAGCGATCCCCACACACGAACACGGCGCGGCCCCACCTTTGTGGAACACCCGGAACAGGAAGTCCACAGCAGGGGAAATCGGACTGGAGCTGGCAGCAGGGGAGCGAGCAGTGACTGCTTCATGGGGACAGGGCTGCTGTGGGGCGAAGACGAGGTTTTGGAACTGGACAGCGCTGATGGCTGCACAGCACTGTGAATATCAATAACCCACTGAGTTTAAGTCAAAAATGGTGTAAACGGCAAATCTCAAGTTTTACATATGTAACCAGAATACAAATGCTTTTTTATAGTTTCCCAAGTTCCTCTGGTACTCCGCTTTTAATTTTCTGTGGAAAACTAGACAGCATCACATCGGAAGAATCTATACCAGGCCTATGGCGCCAAGCACACCTTACCCAGGCATGCATGGAGGTGCAGGCAGCGAGAAGCACGAAGGAACCGCGTGCCCAGTCCTCAGGTACCCTTAGACACACCTGGGCCAATGCTCAGGATCTGCATCCTCAAGAACTTGTAATTCAAGGGTTTTTGGTTTGTTTTTTTTTTTTGGTACTGGGGATTGAACTCAGGTCCTTGCACTTGTGCAGCAGGCGGCAAAACCACTGAGCTAAATCCCTGGCCCAAAAAGAACTGATAATTAATGTTCACTTTTTTTCTTTTTTTGTGCCGGGGATCGAACTTGGGACCTTGCACTTGCGAGGCAGGCGCCGGAACCACTGAGCTAAATCCCCGGGCCTCAAGGGTTTTTACCTACCACGCCCAGAGGAGGGAGGGAGGTCAGAAGTTACTAAGGTACCCAGCGAGGTCTCATTCCATCTCTCTTGGTCAGTAATGGCTGCCTGCAAACAGCAACACTATACCCTGACCCAGGGAGCCACCCACATATTGAACCGCAGCCCGACACTAAACCTGACTTTTGAAGCAATGAACCTTTGGAAAAGGTTCTGACACATCACCAAAAACTAACAACACTCCACACTCAGCGGCTTCCCTCAGGAGTGCTGGTGCATACGTGAAGCCTTAGGATCTCAGGTTTGCTTCAACAAGTCTGACACAAATGTCTACCTGCCATGCGCAAATCATGTTTCACCCAATTATAACATGCCAACTACAGGGAAAAACGAAACCCAGTTCCCAGCAGAATTTATTAAAGGAAGATGAGAAAGGCCTCCCACCCTGGGGCTGCTCCAACCTCACACATTCTGCTCCGGGGCTCAACACTGCGTGCCTCCCTCAGCTGGGTGCAGGTGACGACTAAAGCCCACCCATGGGATCAGAGGGATCCACACTGTCACCTGCACCTCACTGACGCAAAGGGAGCACAACAGGGAGGCCTCCCTGAAGGCCTGCATCACAGGCTGTGACAGCCGCACTGAGAGATGCGGCCTAGAAGCTTAACTTTATTCTGAAGGAAATGAAGCAAACGATTCCACAGCTACACAAATCCGGCCCGGATGCCGGTAAAGCTTACGCTATTCCCTACCCTGAATGGCACCATACCTGTTTATGAGGGCACTGGGCCTTTCCCAGGTTCCTAGTGTGCAGCACTCAGCGTGCCTCTTCTCTGTGACCAGCAAATAGAAGAGTTACAAGACCCTGACCCAAATTAGCTAATAATTAGAACCCAGAACCTGGGGAAGAAGCCACGTGGAGACCAAAGCATGTTACCTTTGTGTGTTCCACGGGAGTTTGAAATCCTTTAAGACCTTGGGATATTTTCCGTAACTCATACATTCACTGAAAGTGGCTCACACACAAATTGATGTATGTCTGTGTGTAACGCATGTACTGGGGATGGAACCCAGGGCCTTCACAGGAGCTACACCACAGCTCCTTTTCATTTTGCAACAGGGTCTTGCTAAGTTGCCCAGGCAGGGCTCAAATTTGTCATCCTGCTGCCTGAGCGTCCCAGAGTGCCGGGATTACAGCTGTGTGGCACAAGGCCCATCGAAGTTTATGTTTAACCGACTTTTCACCTGAGGATTTAGAAGCATTAGGAGCAAACACAGCACAATGCTATGGTGACTTTTCAGTTTTCCACCTGTGATGTACATTGTTAAAATAGCCCCAGATCCAAAGGAAAGCTTATTGGGGTATACTTTTATCCATAAGGTGCTGCTGGCCAGAGAGCTTTCAGACCCAGGCAGATCCTCAGGGGAAACCACACCTCCTGCCACTGCAGGGCAGCACAGCAGACAGCCATAGCCCAGTTCTTCGGGGCAAGGGACCACACAGCAGGTGTCAGTGGACAAAATGTCCCCAGGGCTGGGTCATTTAGGAAAACATGGTGCTGATGGAAAGAAAGCAGCTTTCCAATTGAGAAGGGGAAAGGAAATGGTCAGAATCGCAGGACAAAGAAGTCAGCTTGCTTACCGTGCAGACGGCGGGGAGCAGGGCGTCTCTGTGATCTTCCCCTTTCTAGCATCCAGTGTCTGGAAATGGGCAATAAGGGTGTTGCACCCAGTGAGAAAGAACCAACCAGAGACCGATATTAAATCCACACAGGAGTTTATTACCTGCCGGGACCGAGGCGAGCATCGGACTGGAGCCCCGACTGGGGAGAGATTAACATATTTTATACACCTTTGAGGCCCGCAGTTTCTAGGCCCCACTATGGGATAGAACTAGCAAAGCAAGCAAAAGGTACAGAAGCGGAACGTCCTGTGGTTAGAACATTTGTAAAACAATAGTTGATTAACTGTTGTTTCTAAGAGACTCTCTAAGGGGAGGAGGTTTCTAAGCTTCCTCCTTTTGAGTTCATCTAAAGGGCAGGCAGGTGTGTCGTCCAGCAGCTATACGGAGTCTGTCTTGCTAACTAGGGTCCTTCAGAGGGCTTCCAGGTCTTCCTAGGGACACACAAGCAGCCCCGGGTGAGAGTCTTAAACCTGTCACGGAGGCAAAAGCCCGCTCAGCTCTCCCTCTGTGTCAATCTGAGCAGAATGAGCTCCGGTCACGTCTGCAAATCCTAACTTGCTCTGCTGAGTCTGAAATGCATAGAACCTGACACACGGAAAAAGGGTTCAGCACTTGAGTTGAAAGGCAGTCTGTGTGCCGGTGCCGGTGCCGATGCAAGCACTCCTCAGGGTGATCTCGTGACAGACCCCCGGGCTCCCGAAGGGCCTTCCGGTTAGACAAGCCCATCTGGCTTCACCTCCCCTCCAACCACCTCTTGGCACCCAGGCCTGCCCACGAAAATCCGATCCCGTTATCTGACAGATAAGGAACGGAGACATGAGTGGCAGGAAGAGAGCAGGCGGAGGAATGTGCCCCCGAACTGCAGGCTGGGGACATCTGGTCAGACTCCACTCCACACGACGTCAGGGCTGCGTGACTCTGCGTAACCTGTCGGACTCCGACTTCCTCTCTGTCGCGCCCAGGCCATCTCCTCCTTCCGCGAGCGCCTTGCCACCTTCTCCATCCGGGGACCGCCGCAGTGCTGCTTCTTGTCCCTGCCAGTGGCGCGAGGCAGGACGCCAAGCCGGACACCAGAGCTTGCCAGCGCGCGGAGGAAACAACGCTCGCGGGGCGGGGCGGCCGGGCACGGCGTCACTTCCGGAGGGCGCGGTGGAATTTCCGGTACGGCGGTCCGCGATCCGGCACCTGCTTTGCTGGTGCGCTGGAGGCCCGCGTGGGAGCGTGATGGTCCCGCCAGCCCTCCCTCCGTCCCTTCTCAGTCTAGAACCGGGAGCCGCCGTCTTCCCACCACGGTTGCCCGGGGAAGGGGCAGTCAGTGACCGCTGAGGGGGCTGGGAGTCCTTGGCCCCTCTCTGTCCTCTTCCCCACTGGATCCCTGTGGCAGGAGGCTCAGGGCCTCTCCCACCTTCCCATCCTGCAGGTGTTCTGCAGGGAGGCCGAGGACTGGCAAGTTCGCAGAGATGGCATGGAGGGGGCTTGAAGGGCCCCTGCTCAGGGCTGGGGACGACAGAGAAGGCGGCTGCCCCGCAGCCTCCCTCCCGGGCCCGGAGTGCAGTGCAAGATCTTCGAGTCTCCCCCACCCTGGCTGTCCAACGCTCTCACCTGGGACTCCGTTCATCTCTAGGGGACAGGTGGACACATCGTATGGCGGGTGGGTGGGAGGAACTGGGGACCCCGGACAGGTGCTTGTTTTAAAATACGGAGACAGGTGTCTGGAAGTAGCCCATTTTGAGGTGTAAAATGTCGCGTTCTGCCAGATTAGCCCCAGTGCCTGGGCTGGTTTGAGGGGACAGGTCACTGGTTGAATTCAACCAACCCAGAGCCTCTGAGTATGTGT